ATCCTTATGGGCTGTGTGCGAGGGATGGGGCGGCCGGTTCCGAGCACCCGGCAGTGCCGGGCTAGGTGTGGGCTCTCCGAGCATGATGTAGTTGAGTTTCTTCAGCGCGCCGGCGGCAGGAGGGTTTGGAAGCGCATTTTGCTGTAGGTGGCAAGATGCACCCAAGAAGCAATGCACGGAGCGAAGCTCCGGCGGGCTAATTTTGGTCATGTTTTGCCGTGGGTTTTCAGTGTTGATTGCCAGTTTGAGGATTCTCTGGGTGAAGGGCTGAATCAGCTTTTGCCAACTCCGGCGCTGCGATGTCGAGTGACCTTGATTATAATGTGGGGTGACCAGCAAGATGGACCAGGAGAAATGAGTGTACAGTGAGGGAGAGTGCCCATCCAGTTTGGAGAATCGGAACGGCAGCAAAGCTCAACTCAAATGCGTCACTTTGATATTTTAAAGTTTATTTATAATATATGTCTTCAGAGGAGTGATTGATGAGACAGCCAAGTGCTATTCAAGAACAGTACAATTACAGTTTCTTTCTTGGAGAAAACACAGTGGAGTCTCCACGTCTTTTACTCCCTGTTCTAAACTTAGTGACTCCCAAGAGATTAAAGAGAGATGTTGTTTGTTTTAGCATCTTGTCTCTTGCCAGGAATGACAAAGAGGATTTGTGCTCCTTACAGATTAAAATGAACAGAAATACAAGAAAACCAACCTCCTTTAAACCAATACCCCTGTCATAAAAATCTCTGCCAGCGCTATCTTCCTGCTGTCCTGCTCTAGTATTCAGGTACCTAAGCTTAAGCTAAAACTGGAACTGCATTTTTAAGGGAAGCACCATCGTGTAAAAAGAGGTGCCTTCTGCAACTTCTCTGCTGTAATCAGTCAGTCAATCAAGCAGAAAAAAAAAAAACCAACCTTGCATAAACATCTTTCTGGCAAACTACTCGGATGATCTAAATCGATCTTTCAGAAATAATTATGTTTATAAGAATTGAAACAGGCTCTGAGAAATGCAAAAGCCAAGGGACCCAGCCTTTCCTTGCAATAATTTGGAAGTTTTGTTGTCCCATTTATCACCTGTACTTGTGCTATTTTCCGCTGTTCTGTGGAAAGGAAATCGATAAATCTGCTTATACTCAAGGTTTTTTCCAGCTCTCCCAAAACTGGGATGTATCTAAGGCTCCCATCAGCAGGTACCAATGGGATGGGCAGGTGTGGAGCGCTCATCGACATGACTGCCCTCCTGTGATTGAAACTCCCTCGTCTTTGAATCCCTCCCATGACTCCCTTCCCCATGCTGAGCCATAATCCTTGCTATTATCTTCAAAGTCTCACAAGCCATGCTCTCCTCGACTAATTCAGTAATGTCCCATCATGTTGCTCCCCTGCCCCATCCCTGCTCCCTGCAGCCGTTGTGTTGTCTCACGTCTCTTCTCCCAGCCCCTCTTCACCCATTCGTCTGTTCGATGACTTATGTGTGGCATGGCCTTCCCTCCCACGGCTTTGCATTCCCTCCTCAGGCCCTGCCTTGAGGCACTTAAGAGAATCAGTCAGATGCTAATCAGAGGAGAAGCATTTATCTTATTAAAACAAAAAAAAAAACACCAAAAAAAAACCCAACCAAAACTCACAATCTTTTCTTATTAGTGTTGCAGCCAGCACTGTGACAAGAAGGAAGGGACGATTCTGTCTGAGGCTTTTGACATAATTAAAAAAAAGAGCAGTAAGTGTCATGATAAATAGCGGGGTCGCATTTTTTCTGGTTTCGTAAACATGGATCTGGATTAACTGTGATGTGAATTATGCAGAGCTGTCCTGGGATTTACGCAGCGGTGTTGAGGTCTCATCTCTGTAGACTGCTTCCAAGAGACAAAGCTCTTGCCACATCAGCAGGCTTTTAGAGGTCTCTGTGCCTTTTCAGTCAACTGCACTTTTCTTTTCAAGATTTCCTCCTTTTACCTGATTCAAAAAGTCACAAGAGGGCCACCGTCCGGGGACTGTATTAATCCTCTTTTCCCATCCCACTCTGTAGAAGCATGATCATGGACTGCTGCAACCCCATGGGACTCTACTGAAATACTAAACAGCTCTGACCACATGCAGATTTATTCTTCCACTCTCTGCAAAGCAGGACTAGGACCACTGTTTCTGAAGGAAATCTTGGATTAAAAAGAAATATATCACAGGCACGAACGTCAACAGAGAGACTGCAAAAGGAACGACCAGTTACCACTTTCTGTTTGCTTTTCCCTGGATATTTGTGGATCAGATTTTCATTTCCATGAATATTTTAAAATGTTTTTCCTTTTTGCAAAGCACGTTCGTATCAAATGGACAAATCCATAGTCAGCTCTATGTATTTTCAGAGCAGGGCAAAAAACGCATCAGCTTGAAGTCCAGGCAACGTATATGTTGAAACTGGCTGAGTGCGTTAAGAAAGCCACATGCCAAACAAGCAACCAAGTTTTAGACAGGCTGAGGAGACACGGGTTCATGGCACCTCGGGCACCTGGAGGAATGGCTGGAAGGTGCAGAAGTAACAACTAGGGAGCAAGCCCTGTGTGGTTCATCTCTGGAGATGAGCCCTTGCCAAGGCAACCTCTGCGCTACGAGCTGCCCGGCAGCCCGGAGAGGGTCTGGTTAGTCATTATCTGCAAAGTGCTTCCAAAACCATTCTGGGGCCATGGTAGTGTCCGGCAGAACAAACAAGCAGTGAAGTTTGAGGGCAGACTCGAATAAGCAGACCTGGCCAGAGAAAGATTAGGCTCTTACAACATGCCTTTTTGCTACTGCCATCTCCTGTAAAGGCAGCTTACCTTGAATTGCAAGCAGTAAGAAAGAAACATGGAGTCATTTATTTCATCATCCTCTGCCAGAGCAAGATTGTTCCCTAAAGCATCTTTTCTAGTGATTTGTTCTGCTTACCTTTAGAAGACACAAGTAATAGCCTTCATTCCTTTCATAAGAAGACTAATAGACATCAACAGTGGGATATTTTTTTCTTGAAAAGGAGCCAAATGTCTTTTCTTTTTTTCTTAATTCTATCTGGCTACTGTTAGTTAATCTTCTTGCAGCAGTCCTTGACTATTTCTCTCCTCCTCGAGGCCCTCAACCTCGATTCGGGTCTTTCCTTTTCCTGCCACATTTCAGCCCACTTACAATATCTTAATTACTTTAAACTAACCCTCTAAGACAACCCCCTGGCAAGCTAATATCCGTGTTCCTACAGGTATCTTCTAACAACCAGACATTTTACTGAGTGACAAGGGAAGGGAAACAAATAGGTGATAAAGCCCATGCTTTTATATGTCGGTTCTTTCCCGACCATTTAAAAACTATTGTAGGGAATTTTGATAAAGTTTCAGACTAAGGTATTGAGAGACAAAGCAACTTTTTGTTGTTGTTGTTTTTTCAGAAAGAATATTTTAAAAGTACACAGGAGCAGGAAGTGCCTGGGAATGTATAGGGTTAATCTTGTCTGCAAAGTAATTGAGAAAAATATCCACTGGTTTCTGAGGGCACTCTATTACCAGCCGAAGGTAGGAGAGCCTCCAGGGATTTAAAAGCAGTCAATAGTTCTAAAAAAAGACAGAGCAAGCCTTTGGTTCTGGTTGATATTAAGTTAGAGCAATAAGTCAACGTAGCTTTTCCATACCAGCACCATCTTCAGACTTATATACACAAAGCTGCTTCTGGTCTGCAAATGAAGCTGGCTCCAAGTCTGCTCAATGTTATTCTTCCCTGTCTCTACCCTCTCCCATTGCGCTGGCTCCTGCAAGACTGTTAGCGAGCCGTGGGACTCAGCAACCAGGGAACCAGGTAGGGGAGGGGAACTGTAGCTGGGAGGTAATAATTGCTTCCTAATCAGCTGCCGGGGCCAGTGGAGAGATGTTACCCTACATCCTCTGTCAGCACAGTACATGTTGTCACACCAACTGGGAGTTGCTCCAGGTGTGCCACCGCTTTTCCTTCCTATGGGGCTCCTCTGGGGACATTCCCTAATGCCCCAACCCCACCACGGGAACAGCATTGGGAGAGCTGGAGCAGTATGAAGGATATTCTGCTGCCTGTGATCACTTACTTTAAAAATAAATAAGCCTGCTTAGCAGACAGATTTATTACCAGCCATGAGGGATTATGAAGCCGAGTCACTTTGATTCATTAGCGCATTCAGAGAGTTTGTGTAAGTTCCTGGAAGCTGTCTGGGATGGTCTTTAACCGTCCTTTTGCTGTTACCTGATGGTGAAGGGGAAAGTTGGAAAGCACTTGTGCTGAATTTGTTTTTCCCTATGTTTGGTAATAGATGTTGACAAGCTGTTTAAAGAACTGAGCCTTCTGACTTGTGCTGTGCAGAGCCGTCCTTCCAACTCAGCTACGCGTAGCCTCTTCTATTCTTTCCTCCCTCTCTATAATATTTAATCAACAAAGCCTTACCTCCATTTCCCTGAGGCCAGAGTATTGCATCTTTCTGCATTTAGAAACCTTCTATGCATGTGAACATGTCCTTTGTGCAGTGATCTTGTTTTAATTAGCCATTTCTCTCTTTTTGGACAGAAATACAGGAAATGACTGTGTAGAGCTTTCCTGCAGCCAAGAGGCAGCACAGCACCCTCAGTCCCCAGCTGTGGGTGGTGGGAGAGGGTTGAAAGGGGAGAGGAGACAGACTGCGTGCCCGGAGCTGGCAGGGGAAGGGAGGCAAAGCTTGGGCAGGAGAGAGGAGTGGGGAGAAGACAACCCTGGGTCACCCTGGGGATAGGCGGGGAGGCAGAAGAGGCCTGCCTAGAACAGGTCAGAAAGCATGACATGAGACATCTTCTTTGTAATGACCAACATGTCATGGAAAAGAGCTAATTAAAGATGATGTTAAGCCAAAGATATTAGGACAATAACCCACCCAAGACCAAACTGTACAAGGCAACAGTTGAATGTTAGCATAACTATCCTTGGCTTCAGCAAGACACAAGTCTGTCCCAGGTGGTTTCCTAATCCTACGTTCAAAGTTCTTGTTAGATAACATGCTTATTCATCTTTTAGGCTTTGTCTCCTTAAAATTGTATCCAGTATTTTCCATCTAAGTGTCAGTCCATTCAAAAAGAGTTGGCTTAGAGACCTCTGAAGTTAACACCTTTCAGAAGCTCCTGTGATGTTCAGCCAGTTTCCTTGTCATTAGGGACTTACTCCATTTCATAGCATTAGATTAGGAAATTTACTGAATATTCCTTAAATCCCTAGTCATGTAAATATTACTGATGGTAAGAAAAATATGCTGTTAATAAATGGTCCTTGTCATAACTAGATCAAGCTATGGAATATATTGTATATCAATATTGGCTAAATCATTGTCTGTGGCCAAGGAATGACTACACTTGGGTTCTGCAATGCTTCATCTTCAGCTTTATTACTAGCCAACACTGCATGTTAGGGAGGCTACAAGTGAGTGTGTGGCATTTCCATTTTGACCGTGTCATTGCTGTAGTCCGGAGATGTGTAAAAAAAAATGTGGGCTCCCTCTCCCTTTGGTGGGAAGCGAAACACTCCGTGAAACACTCTCTGAACATCAAAGCACGGCTGGCAAAGCAGAGGAGAGATCTCCTCTGCCTTTCGGTTCTGCCACAAGGAAAATGAACATAATCCTGACCCTAACTGTCTTGTAATTTTTATTAGCTCTCTTTGGCTTGCAGCAATGACCCTGTGAATAATGCATGCTGCTAGATGGCTTTCCTAAGGAAAGAAGGCTTACGCAATCATATTGTCTGCCACTACCCGCCCTCTCCTTACCCAGATATTCTGTTAAGTAAAAAAATTAAAAAAAAAAAAAAACAAAGCAAAAAAAACCACAAAACCGAAGACCATGTAGGGAAGAGACCTCCTCGTAGTGACCTCAGTGAGGAACATGAGCTCAGTTCTCACTACGTATCTGAGGTGCTACTTGGGTACTCAAGTCCAAGAAACACATTCATGGAAAAACGGTTTTCACTGTTTCTGCTGCTCATGCAATGACTTGTTTCTTCACAGATCACTCACAGTGAGCCGCAGAAGTCATGCTCCAAGCCTGTAGCAGAGAAAGTCACAGAGAGCTGCCAGCAAATTTGCCAGTGCAGGCCACCTCCACCATTACCACCGCCTCCTCCACCTCCACCGCCCCCAAGGTTGCTAGTGGTGCCGAGTAAGTAGTAGCCGCTGGTACGTTTGTGGTGCGCTGAGGGAGGGCGAAGTGACGGGGACGCCTGGACAGATGGAAGGAGAAAGGATGTGGGAGAGGGCACAGCTAGCTCATTTGTCATTTTCCATTTAGCAAATGGAGGAAAAAATGTTCTCACTAGAGATGGAGATCTGTTTTCTGATCAATGAATAACGCTTGACTTTTGGAGGAAAGCCAGAGAAATTCCCTCCTTCCATTGCATTATATATGATTCCCTTGTTTTAAATGGTTCCTTAATGCCATAGCCCTGGGAAATGCTCTTCTACGCAGACGTAGTGCTGTGCTTCCCCTGGAGTTACATGTCCTCCTGTTTCACCAGGTATGTGGCTTGAGGGTCTGGGCGAATTAATTTGTAAGCAGGCAAAAATTCAAGCACTCTGCCTAGACCATCCTGCAGGTTTGGCTCTCTTCAAGACACCGGAGCTCTACTGGTTTACCATAGCGTTGAGTCAAGTTCACTGGTTTTATCTGAATTGCTTATAACTGTAACAAAGGTCAGAGGCATGTCAGGAGTCAGTGGCAAGTGAGCAGTTTTCCCACTAATGCACATACAGGCTAAGACTTGCTCTATTTCTCTTCATACAAACCAGTGCTCCTAAGTCTTATCCAGCCCATCCCAGCTCCTCTTAATTTCCAGCCACGCATCCCCATGTCCAGCACACCTTGTGCCTGCAGTTCCTTCTGGCTAGCTCTGCCAGCTTTCTTCCACATCGGTATTCCATTCGATGCTCAATGATTCCTCTAATCCCTGACACACAGATCCTTTCCGGAGAGCGATAGCTGTGCCGGTGGTCCCCGGAGAAGCAGTCCCTCCATCGTGGTGTGATGGACCTCACCAGTGCTACCTGCACTGGCTGGGTGCAGGGACATGGGCTGGACCCTGCGCAGACACTTGTAGGTCCCAGGGATTTGGTATCCCAGCAAATCTCCTTAACGCTTCGCTGTTTTCGCAAATTTGTCTCTCCCTAAAAGGCTGCCTCTTAATTCTTCTCCTTGCTTTGATAAACTCCCCTGGGAACAGTGTTGCAAAGTATATCTATTATCCTTCCCTGTCGTTCCCCCAAGGGAAAATAAATCATTAGGTAGCATCATTTGGCCATTTGTCTTTATCAGCGCCATGCCCAGATGTGCAGAAGACACGAAGAAGGCTTCTGCACAGCTTTTATCCAGGCAGAGGACAGGCAGAATTTTACAGTGTGTTTTCTGCCAGGAGCGTGCTTTGTATTTGTGCCACACTGCAGAAATTTAAGGCAAAGGCAGGAAAAAAATCATAGGGAAACACTTGGGAAAGGAAGTACAAAGACAGCTTGGAAAGTGGAGATGAAGGTTTTTAATAGAGGAAAAATCTTTTTCAATGTTCACGAAAATGTCACGGACAATAATATTGAAAATTCCCTTGATCTTTGTCTCACAGTCAGAAAATAAAGTACCTTGTCACTGTTTTCTTGTACCTGGGGTACCTCATTGCCCTGAGGGAGCTGCTCTTACCCACGCAAGATGTGTGGCACAGGCACCAGCCCCGCGGCTCAGCTGCTGGGAGGAGGGCACCGCTGCCGGGCTGCTTCCCATCGGGCAGCTGGTCTGAGTGCGTGGATTTGTCTCCTGTGAAGTGGGAAGGAAATCGTATCAGAAAAAAAGAACTCAGTCACTCGTTGCAAATACAGGAAAGAAAAATCAAACAGGCCTGCGACTGGGATAGCCTCATGCTTACTCAGGCTGGATTGCCAGGTGCTAACCCAGTTCTAAAAATGAGCTATATAAATCCAGATGACTAATATTTAAACAAGTTATTTCATTTCAAATGCAATAAAAAAAAATAGATTACACATTCCTTTCACCAGTAAGCTGTAGAGTAGCAATCAAGTGCCTCATCTGGAAAGATGCTTTCGTTATTATCAGCTGTCTAGGCACTGATTTAGCCCACGTGTACAGCAATCCCCATCCTTGTGAGAACGAGCAAGCCTCGTGGTTAAATATTGATGTTATAGACACCGCTTTTAAATGGCATATCAGAGGGGAGGGCAGTAAAGGGACAAGACAAGCTATTATTAAGTGGTGGATGCCAGACTTGCACTTTGCACTTTTTAAGTGATTAAAGCTAAGTACTGGAAAGACCTCTGCAAAAAAGCAGCAGCCCGGGAGCTGCAAGTTTTTTACCTTTACAAGGTACGGTGTCTGCACTGTGAGGCACTTCATAAAGATGCTGGCATTGCTGTCAGAGCTTTGTGAGCCACAAAAGGCTGCAGCCTGCTAGGCACTTGTCCTTAAAAGCTCTTTTTGCAATCAAACTGAACATCGTTGGAGATTTAGCTCATCTCTACATCCTTCTGAAACAGCTACTGTGGTTTAGGCCTGATGATTAAAGCCAAAAGATACAAAATTCCCGTCCATCCTGTTACTACAGACACTGACAGCTCAGTGGCTGCTAAATGAAGCCATTTAGTGCTCTTTGACATGTTCTGTCCGGTCTCCAGCTGCTGCTGTGGAAAAGCAGGGGACCCTCTTTCTGTTCTCGCTATCAGTCTCTCCTGAACGTTTTGCAGACCCTACTTGGATGTATGTGACGGCACTGGGTAACTGTTTGTGAGCAGCTGAATCACTCCCTGAAAGGTTTTTATTGTGCTTGAGGACAACTCAGGACTTTCAGGAACAATTACAGTGCATTCAGTGTCTCTTTAGACATTTCAATACTGACAGGTTGATCCAGCGACAAATCTTTAACTCTCCTTCCTGCAGATAGAATTATACAAAATCTGTTAAATGTTGTGAGTTCCAGAATTTGTGCATAATAACTGGTAAATGTTGTGTTTACTTTGAGGGACAATAAGCTAATTCCCTCTGCAGAAAATGAGTAGAATCACACGCAAGTTAGCCGTCAGTCTAAATACATGAGCAGTGGTAGAAACACCAACTTTCCAGGTTCTTTAGGAGACACCTCACTATTTATATTCATGTATTTACAACAGGAATGTGGGGAGCGTGTTTCAGTGCAGCCTGAGGAGGCATATCATTTGTTCAACAATATGAATATGGGAAATTAATTTTTACCATTTCACCCATATATTTCCAAATATGGACCACAAAATTATGGACTTGTGAATTCAGAGAATGCCTCTGCCATCAGAACTCCAGACTCCAGGGAAGAAAACATGGGCTGCTTTTGTCCTCCTTCATCCATGACCCCAGGCCTCCTGTTCTCACGTTTCTAACTCTTTCACACAGACCACTGGCATTTCCGATGTCCTTTCCAACCCCTGTTCTTTGCCTTCACTGCATCCACTCTGCTGCTGTCATGGGGCATTCCCTCATAGCAGCATATCCATGTGCCACCTCCTCGCTAAGCAGAGGACTCACGGTCTGCCCGGGTGAATCCGTCTGCTTTACAGTGTCTAAATGAAGGCGAGGATCAGCCACACTGGTCCCTGTGGGTGCTGGTTCTCTCAATATTGCTAGTTCAGCCTCATCTCTTTCTGTAAAGTGGAACACATGGAACACTTCAGTTTTGAGTTTCCTGAGCTTCATTCCAGATGCAGTTTGTTGGCGTCCCACTGAGATACTGCTGTCTTGTTTGGTATAGATGTGCACCTTACTGAGAGTCTTCAAGGAAAGGGCCTTCAGCCCATGTTAGAAGTAACTAGGATGGTGGGGGACTATGTGACAACGTAGTGGAGACTGTCAGGAGACGTGGTCACTGAGCCAGTTGCAGTTCCTCCAGATGGTCTGGCACATTGATGTTTCCGCAGGAACTCTCCTTATGCAAGCAGCAGCCTGCTCTTTAACCTGTGCCTGGAAAACTGCTCGTTGACGAAGTGAAGGGAAAGCTCATGAGGCTCTGAGGGGCCTAAGGCCAGCTAAGCTTAGATGCTGACAGCAAAGAAAGGAGGAACTTTCAATGAAATTGAGCGTGTTCCCTAGATGTGGCTGTAATGACCTGAAAGAGATAGAGAAGCTCAGAACCTGGCCTTTAATTACTGTTTCTTTTTTTTCCCCCATCTGCTTTCCTCCTTGTCTCTGGATCTCAGCCAGGACTAAGGCAAGGTGGACGGAATACTTGTTTAGGCAGCATTTCTAACCCAGCTTCACAGGCCCATGAGATTAAGCTAGTTCAAATGATGTTGACCCTCCAAAATCTAAAATACTGCTGTTGTCAACCCTTAAATACTTTGTGAGCACGCAGGTTTCTCCAGGGGCATTGCAAAGAAGAAAGGACTTTGTTTGGAAGTAGCAGCTAGGCTTTCAAAAGAGGAAAGGGTTAAAGCTAGACATACAGTGTAGTCAGCATCAGTTTTAACCTGTGTAATGTTTGAGGAAAAATCATTTCAGAAGTGACTTCTTCAAAATGGTACAAGGAAGAGAAAGGTTGTTCAGCATGCTCTCCTCCCTTGCTGGTTAGCAACATCTGCTGTCTCTGCTCTACCCATCTCCCACGTTGGATGAGGAGCCTGTGGTACTGCCATTCCCTGTCTGGATGATGGAAGTGTCCAGTCAAACATCGCTTCAGTCAAAATTCAGAGGAGGAAACTTAAATAAAAGGTTTTATCTGGGGTCATTGCAAGCTGTACTAGTACAGCTGAGTCTGGATACGTGAACCAACCTCTGACTTGTCGGATGCTTGCACGTAGATACACGGTGAGGTCTTTACAGCTCCTGACCTCAGTGAAAGTTTGCCCTGAGATACCAGTTGAGATAAAGCATAATTGAGTCAGCGCAAAGCCAAAGTGAATGACATCACTGCAGAGGACTCTAATCTCCAGGCTGTAATTGTATGATTTTGTTTTTCAAGGTGAAATCTTTTCCTTTATCTTTGGAGATAGTGCATCTAATTAACTAATTATTTGGGCTGGTGAAAATGCCAAAATAAAAATGACCAACTGCAGGAAGGGTGCAACTTTTTGGCAACTATATGAGCACAAATATATAGCTTAATTTCAGAAAGTGTGCAGGGTCCCTTCAGTGCAAGTAGG